CTCGTTTGCCACCTTTTTGTGTAAAAAAAGAAAATGTCTTGCAACTTGACAAATTCCTCTTTTTACATACCAATAAGGTAACATCATCATCATCATCACCAGCTCACTATATGTCCCCACCGAGGGGCTCGGAGCCTACCCTAATGTTAGGGTGACTAGGCCATAGTCAACCACGCTGGCCAAGTGCGGGTTGGTTGACTTCACACATATCTTTGAATTTCTTCGCGGATATGTGCAGGTTGCATCACGATGTTTTCCTTCACCGTAAGAACGTCGGGTAAATTATGTACATATGAAAATTCGAAAAATCGAAAATCACATTGGTACATGGCGGCGGGATTCGAACCCAAGACCTGTAGATTACAAGTCAAGTGCTTAAACCACTGAGCCACCGACGCTCCAATAAGGTAACACTATGTTGCATATAATGAAAAACAATAAGCCAAATACCGCTGACCGTACTTTATTCGTTCAGATACGTTTAAAAAGCGTCATATTGGTTACTGTTCCGTGTCTCAATGTGTACATTACGTTCAAATATTTGAAGCGTTTGCAGTGAAACACCGCCAGATTCCCTGACTGTACTACATTTGTTTTTATAAAAATACATTTTTTATTTCCTATTATCTATAATATACATTTTTATTTCTTAACGAGCTGTCGTCTGCAACTTCGTTAGCGCTAATTTGGACCACCCGTTATACAATTTAGATAGCACGGAATTAAAAAAGTAGCCTATAATATGCCCGTCTATGTAAGCTACCCTTCAGTGAAAATCCGCTCGAAATCGGCCCGAACAAACGCGGCTAGCGGACAGACAGATGAAATAAAAATGCGTTATTAGCAACGCAAATACATTTCCGAATTTCCGAAATCTGGAATTTTCCTTTCGATATTACAAACAGACAGTCCATTTTATTATATGTTTGTTAATTAAAAAATATCGCAGTAAACCTGCATTCCTTGAAATAAGGATTCTCGCTGTCTGAAGTTCTTCAATATTCCAGGGAGAGGCTTTTTCGTTTTTCTCGGTATTCCATTAAGTACGCCAATTTAATGCACTTTCATTACCTTTTCATAAGATGTTATTAAAATGCTTCTGTGCTTAACTTTATACGAGGGTATTCTTGAAAACGTTTTAAAAAATAGTTACGTATGCATACGTAGTTTATTTATTTCTAAATGAATTCAGATAATCAATTACTGGCCGGTTTCCAAGCTACATTTAACCATTCGTTAGTTTTTTGGTTTGATAAATTCATGAAATCCGTTTCCGAACTACGTAACTTGAGTTTTACTCCGTTACTCAGGTCAACTTATCACTAATTAATCAATAGGTAATTATACTTCACGCGAATATTATAAATGCGAAAGTTTAGATGAATGGATGTTTGGCATAGCCGTAGAAAATTGTATAGAAAAAAAATGGGCTAGTTACTTTTGTTTTTTTCTTTAGTTTAATGCAAAAGGAGTAAAATTAATGTAAATTTTAGCGAACCAGCAAAAGACGTGGTAATAATTTGTGTTCATACAATATGACACTAAGGGCCCAATACTGAAAAAATCATAAACACCCCGCTTCGGAAGCGCCGCTTTTAATCGGACGGACGTCAATTACTCGTATACGAATTTTAAGAGTGGCCTATCATTTAACATTCGGATAGATAGAACATTATGACTGCTGCAATAATTCAATTCACTGTAATAACAAAATTAACAAAACGTTAGTTGAATAATATTATTTTTATCATAAGATAAAAAGAGTGTGATATAAATCAACGCCATCTATCGGTACATTTGACGATTATACTTTAAAGGTCAACGAAATTGTCAATAGATGTCGCCCTCTGTTCAGCAGTTGCTATATCCGCATTTAGCATTTGTAAAGTCCATTCCTCTTATCTAACTTGCTCTTTTTATCATTTATACTGATTCCTATTTTATGAACGATTATGTTTAAAATGGCGTCTTTTAAATTGTACGAATTTATCAAAAAGAGTTACTTTCCGGAATCCATTCAATGTTTGTTGAAAACAATAAGAAAATCCTTTCAGTTGTTGAGCTTATCGCTTTCAAACAGACGCAACGAAGCTTAGTTTTAAATCACAAAATTGAGTTTGTACGTGCTAACCTTGTAACCTACCAATCGGATTAGAAAAAATTACTTTATTTATGGGATAGTCTATATTTATACTCGTAAATGTTATAGACTTTAAGAAACAAAGCTATATAATCAAATAACACGTATGGGGTAAAATTGTTTTATCTACACTGCCTTAAAATAAATGGAAAAAATACTAAAGTACCAAACGGACTATTATGCGTAAATATGTGAATGGGTAGGTTTGCTAGCGCGAAATGGAATTCAGTACTCTGCCTACACCTTTGAGTTACGGGTTATGTTGTAATTAAGCTAATATACGAAATTCCTGCATGATGAATCGAGTGTGTCGGAGTCATTACGCGCTAACGTATGACTCACGCTGCGCCCTCTGTCGGGGGCGAGGGTCTGCACGATTACACGCTTCTTGCCTCTCGATGGCTTTGCCTGCGAGTATAATCGATACGGGAATACATGCGAATTTACGCTGCGTTTTCACTGTCGTATCATTACCTCAGGGTTTACAACCGCGATATCCCGACGCCCTTGGTATTTCTTAGTATATTTTTCCAGTTTTTTTATTAGTAAATGATTTAAAGCATCGAGCTACCAAAAGCGCAATTTTACCTTACAATGTTCAATTCGTATAGGATGTACAATTCCTGTAAATTCACGGTAGAGGTTTTTTTTTACAAATCGCAGTTCCACCTACGATTACTTTTGCGTACTTTAAATTGGAAACCACAGAAATCCACTTGGTTTTATTTTGTGAGAAAATCTGTTTAATGTTCTGATTTAAGTAAAAAAATGTTTTACTTGTAGATTAAAGCACTTTGCGTAAAATATTTAGAAATAAAACCATTTTTAAAAAGACATAGAAAATACGATTGATAATCTGTTCTAATTTCAAATAATTTGAATTCTTCCTTTTTTTCTAATTGCTTGAGATCTAAAAACGTAAAACCTCCTTGGACAAATTGTCGTGGTAAAGTTTGTTTTTTACTGTTATAATAAAATATTTTAATTTCATCATAACAATCGATGAAAAACTTAAAAAACTTAACACTTTCAGTGCGATCTAATCAGTGAATTCAGTGAACGTAAAATTCGTAGCATTGAATGTGTTAAAAGTGAGCTAGTTAAATGCTATATGATTATGACCTTCGTACTCGTTTAAATAGTTTGGCCTACATCTTGTTCTGTTCTCAAGAATCTGTTCGTTACGTACACACTCGAATCAAATCATTGTCCTTAAATGTTAAAACAATGAAATAGTGCTTCTTAACACCTATTATCGCACTCAGAGTACGTCCCCTTAGTATGGATTGACAACAAGAATCTTTAAGATAGGTTACGCATCCGGAAAATTTTTAAATTCAAACAAATGCATTGCAGCCGTCACTTTGTTATTTTGGCTAACTCAGGTAGCATTTCTCGTTTGCCTTCTATTATAAAAAAGAAATGTACACAAAGGTACCTTTGGCGCTTGATTAATCTTACAGACGACCAAATATAATACATTTAAATATGTAACAACATTATAATAAGGTTACGTTTCGAATGCCCTATTAATTTTATTGCCTGTATTGTTTTGACTGGCTTTCGTTTCAAAATCCAACAGTTAATTCTATACTCTATACTATTATAATAAAGCGTAAACACACACTGCTTTGTTGCCTAAGATGTCCCCAATTACAACATATTTTTGAATGATTCTTTTTTAATAAAAAGCCCTACACTTACGTCACGCTTAGGCTATATATTTTCACGCCATTAAACTTAGGGGGTAAATATTTTGGATAAAAACCCTAATATAGGAAAGAGACCATAAGTTGCTGCCAACATCAAGGAAGCAAGTTTACCATGCTTTGTCATCATGTCATGTCATTTTGACATTTGCAATTGATAATTTAACACATGTAAGCGATAAAATAATTTTTTCGTAATTTTATGCAGATAAAGTCGCACGGTAACAGCTAGTATATTATAGTTACCGAATAGTAACTGCTTTATTACAAGTTAGTTATCCCCTTTCTCTTAAACTTACCTAACAACTATTGTAAGTGACACTTCAAAGCGCCTTATGGTTTTGTCACTTAAATTAACTAGTTGCACCTTTACTTACCGCAGCTAAGTTAAACTAAGTTTCGAACCGATCGTGGTAACTCGAAGCGAAGTTTGAACAACTTCATATTAAAAGCAAACACCCAGCGGCGGTTTGCAGTTTTAATTTTTGCATTCAACCTCAGTAACTTGACGTCTACGCCCTGCCGCTTTGCTTTTGAAGAACTTTAAAAGTTATTCAACTTATGATATATCTTATTTCTCGATCATATACAGGATGATTTGAAATTAAAATGTATACCGAAACTACCTGTTCCCGTGCGACTTCATCCGCATTAAATTATGAAAATTTTATTACATTGTTTACATGTGTCAATTGCCAATGTCAAAATGACATGACGATGACAAACCATGGCAACCTTGCTTTCTTGATGTTGGCAGCAACTTATGGTCTCTTTCTCACATTAGGGTTTTTATCCAAAATATGGTATATATTAATTTAGTTTAATGGCGTGGAAATATATAGCCTAAAGCGTGACGCAAGTGTAGGGCTTTATATTAAAAAAATTACTATTCAAAAATACGGTGTAATTGCTGAGATCTTAGGCAACAAAGAAATGTGTGACGCTTTATTATAATAGTATAGATGTAGTTGCATAAACGCATAAATCTCTCTTGATTTTGTGCGTCACACGTTACTTTAAAAGGCAGTGGATTAGTTGCCTCATCCCAAAGATATATCCTAGGTCATTTGCTGGCGATAACTATGCCTTGGTGTATCTCAAGTTCTTTGATGCATCTATTCGGTTATTTGATAATGACTGATGTATTACAGATGGCGCTGGTAGAGGAGGCGGGCTCAGAGGATCCGGAAGTGCTGCTCAACGAGTGGCTAGGCGAACTCAGCGCCCTCACTGCGGTCAGTACAACATTAATATATACACGCAATAATACAAGTTCGTCATGTACCACAATTACAGAAAGATTGGTCGGTTCTGGACTGTAAAAGGAGGAGATCGATTATGGTGTGGTATAGCTTTTTCAATTGTTTTAGAAACTTGTATAATCTTTAATGCGACAACACCATTGGTCATCAGAGTTAAGATTCAAGCAATCAATCGTCAAATACGTACAATTTAATATGACAAAATGGACAATAGATAAGAAAGACAAAATATAGTTAAACCGTCAGATATCGGCGTGCAAAATATATTTTAATATCAGTCTGCTGTTTTCCCGGACATCCTGTACGTAGTTATCAGACAATTGTCAAAGTTAGAAACTATATAATTTACTGTCGCCCCCTGTCGGCAAACCAGAGCGTGTAACTTTTGCTAGTTTCACACGACGGTAGAACAGTAACATAGACCAGTGGGACAGTGCAGTACTACTGTATGAATACACACGCCGAAACTGATAATCCCTTCTGAATAGAATCAAATAGCGATTAAAAAAATTATAGAACTGTCACTTTTATTTAACTTATCCCGTATTTATTCCTGTATATTTAGACATATTTATATTTGACATTATTTCCGTAGTCGTTCTAATAATAGCACTGCATTGTCTGCTGCTCTGTCCTCGTGTGAAATTAGCCTTAACTCCATCCACTCGCATACTAATAAAGCTCCCGTTTATTTATAAGGTTTCCGAATATAGACCAGACTGTAATTAAATTTGCAGTACAAAGTTCCAAGTGACATCGGACACGGTTTACCAATCGATTAGAACTCGGCTATGGATTAAATTTAAATTCTTTTAAAATCTATTTCCACACTACAGTCTGCTTTTGTTAACTATAAAAAAACTCACAGAGAAGCATATCTTACTTCTTACTTCTTACTAATATTATAAATGCGAAAGTTTAGATGGATGGATGGATAGATGGATAGATGGATGGATGGATGGATGGATGTTTGTTAGCGTTTGTAGCCTAAACGGCTGAACGGATCTCCATGAAATTTGGCATAGGTTTACGACATAGTCTGGAAGAACACGTAGGCTACTTTTTATCCCTGGAATAGTTACGGTTCCCGTGGGATTCATTAATTTAGTTTTTTAATGTTTACTCGATCATTCTGCAACGGTTCAACATATCTTATTGAAATTTGGCACAGATATAAAACAAAGTCTGGAGTATACATGGGATAAGCTTCATCCCCGAGAAATGTCCAGTTCCCGAGGTATACGTAGCTTTTTGTAATTCATATAGTTTGTATGTGTTCTAATACCACGCGGACGAAGTCGCGGGCAACAGCTCGTTAAAAATAAACTAAATTAAATTCTATCGTTATTTAGTATTTAGTATACTGTTATAAACATTTTAAAAAACGTTTACGCAACTAGACCGATTTTATAAAAAAAAACTTTAACTCAGTTCTCAAAACTCAATTGACACGTAAAATTTTGTCTACACAACAGATTTACAGCTTTGTATATCTAAATAAGAATTAAAGTGTCCATAACATTGACAGTGCGTTTGTAAGTACGATTGCAGAGGCGAGGCATGTCGCTTAAGCGCACATCCGATTTCCGTATCAAGCGAGCTATTATTAGACAGAAGATAAAACAAAAAAAACCGGCATCCGTCCGTCCGTACGTATCGTATAATCACTACACAACATCTGCGTACGGTTCCATAGTGCCTCATACACACAGCTTGTATTTTTTTTCTACAACTTTTTTATATATGTGAAATCTTTAACAGCTGTTGTTCCGCACGTTGCGCCCAAAAAACTCGTTCAGATCGACCAATGACGCGCCTCTCTTAACATCATCTGCCGTCCCTTTCATTATAAGTGTTGTTTGATTTTTTATCTTACGACTTATGACGAAATGTATAATCGAATATCTGTTGCTCGCGACTTCGACCACGAGAAATTAAAAAAAAGAACCATGTTACTCAACGATATTGTAGCTTTTTAATGGTGACAATTATTGACGTCAGCCTAGTAGTTTTTGAGTTATATCAATACATACAAAAATTATAACATCATATAGACGTGCCAATTTTATTAATATGCATTATTTTACACTTAAAATATGATTTTCCAAAGTCCAGAGATAACATATTTTTATTGTTACGTCATTGTATTGTTACTGCAACCTGCAACTTGAAAGATAAATTCGAAAGTTTTAATCAAACTAAAGTAAAGTTATGAACCAAGTGTAGCGGGCTTTATTCGTGTGCTCAACCAAAGTCCACAATAACAACTCTAAATATACGGTGTTCAAGGTGACGACTCATATGTAATGCATGTGCATTATGATGAGTGGGTACTGAGGGTTCACAAACAAATTATACGTCCCGTTTGCGATTTTATCACACAACGAAGCGATGCGAAAGCAAAGCGATATTTGATAAAACTGGCACAAAATTTACACAAAAGGAAATAACCTCAGATTTGGTTATTTCCTTTGAGAAAACGCTCACAGCGAATTAAAACTAACGTAGAACATCCTCTGTTCGGTTTTTTCGCTTTATGATTGGCTTTTGTTCCGCTTTCGCGGACAGTGTGCAGTAGAGTGAATGGTATCGCCTTGAATTGGTCTTCAAGTTACGTCGGTTAATAAAAAGTCTGCTATCGTTTGAAACTCGGTTGCTTTTGCGCTTACCTAAGCTTTTTTATCCAATTACGTGTCACCGTTACCATTCCTCATTGTCCGATTCAATTCTTATTTATACACGCCACCGAACGACTGTGAACTTCGACACTTTATAACAAAACTACTAATTGTTGGTAACGATAAAAGAATTCTGGCAAATTTTTAACCACTATAAACGAAATAAGTTATTTACTATTTATTTGTAGTCAATATTACTTTAAGAAAAATATTTTATTTCCTCCGTTATTGCATTAGAGTTTTACCTAGATTCAGTTCTCAATATACCTAGTCAGATTATAGAAGGGCGAACTTCACAATCTAGCGATAACATACAGATTATGATTCATTCTAACTACCTCCGTTCCGCGATATAAACACAATCACTGGCTGAAACCATTTTGTTGTCAAAATATGTATCTTAGATTATTATGTTATTATTATTGATCAATAAGTTATATCTACTTATTACTAGAAATCTAAGTAAATCTAAGTAGTACAAATATACAAATATATTAATCAGATTGTTATCCGATAATCAGGAACATTTTCTTTAGTTTGTATGAAAGCATATAGTCAAAGAATTTAATAGGCTTCCCAGTATCTAAAATCTTAGTGGACAAAATCACCATCCACACCATGTGTTTTGTTAACAATTAAGTCTGAGCGATATCAGTCTCAGGACCTATCTGCTTTTACCAAAGTGGGCACAAAATCAACTGAATTTAATTTAGTTTTGGAGAGAAGCCAAACTATAAAACCATACAATGCACACATTCGAGCGCTTGTTCCCCGATTGGGGCAGCCGCCCGCACCCACTGCACCAACTGGGAAACAGAGCAACTTGCACAATATGAGACATTGTTAAGTAATTAAATAATATAGGAAGGGATCCCAGTGCGGGTTACACTTCTGAATAGGTCTACCATGATTCAATTAGGAACAGTCCTTAATAGACTACTAGCTGTCGCCTTCGACTCCGACCGCGTGGAATAAAAAAACGAAAGTAGCCTGTGCATTATTTCAGACATATCTACATCTATGCCAAATTTCACTGCGATCCTTTCAGTTGTTTAAACTACAAACTCTAACAAACATCCTTCCATCTCAACTTTTGCATTTATAATATCAGTAAGAAATAAGATAATCCATAGATAATAAAAATAATTTATTTTTATAGGGTTATACACTAAAAACTGGACTGTGGCGTTAACATCACTAATTTCATTCGTTTTTTAAATAAAAAAATCATTAGACGATTGTTTGATGCCGTGCGAACACAACAGCGTATTGCGTCGACTTTAAGGTTCGTCCGAACCATATTAGATAGTGCTAGTACTACCCTAACATTAATATAATCAAACTCAGATCTGTTAAATATCAATACGAGTTACTATACTAGTAATTTTTGCATGTTTTTATCCCCAAAAGTGTAAACTTTCGGTCTGTAAACGAACGTGATCGTTTTAAAGTCACGTCCTATCAATATGCAAGGGAATTTGATTATACGGTGCCGATAGCACGAAGCGTGCATCGCACAAACGAATCAGCTTTTCCACAAGGCTTTATTTTTATCGTACTATCCAAATGCAATTATTGCCTTACAGCAATCAACTTTTATTTTATAAAACTGAATAATCTATTCAGTTAACTTAAATAGGTAATAAATAAATCTTATTTGACATATTTATATTGTAAACTTTTCGTCTGTTAACTTTTTAAACTAGTTTTAAACCTATCCCGAGACTTAAATGTTGATGGTTAACCTATCACTTCATCGGTCTAACGCCAGATGTTTGTCGGCTTACGGACACCATTATTAAAACGTCACTTTAATATTTAATATTAAACTTGGCCATTCAACTAACAATTCACAATATAAACTTTAGTAACAAAAAAAGAAACCATACCAGAGATAAGGTTGCGTTGTAAAAAAACATTATACATAAAATCATATCATACTAATATTATAAATGCGAGAGTTTAGATGGATGAATGTTTGTTAGAATTTGTAGTCTAAATGTAGTTCATAGTCTGGAAAAACACAGGCTACTTTCTTTTTTTTATTTCCACGCAGACGGTGTCGCAGGCAAAAGCTAGTATGTGAATAAAACTATCACTAATTAACTTTTTTTGTAGTAACTGATTTTTATTTTAGAAAAAAGTAAGATTTGCCTCATAAAATATACATAATTTTTTTTATTTATTCAAATCATGAACATATATGACACATAATTGAATATTTACATTGAAGAAAATTAAAATGAAGAATAGGAATTAATAAAACTATTATTCTAAAAGTCTAAATTCATTTAA